ACAGCTTATACCCATCCCTTTATTTTTTTTTTTTAATTTATTGTTTGAAGATTTTTATCAGGTGTCCCTCCCTAGCTTTCCATCTGTCTTTTCCTCTCTCTTCATTTTTTCTGGACCTCCGGGTCATCCTCACCCTTCCTTGGGGGTCTCTTGTCAGTTGTTCAAGTCTTCCTCGAGGACCAGTGCTACAAACCCCCCAACACCCTCCAGCTGAGACCATCCCCATGCAGAGGAGAGCAGGTGAGTCTGGCCATTTTTTCTAATCTGTAAGAAAGAAACTGTGCACGCCTCCCCCAGCCCTCCAATGGACTTGCCATGAGTAGCTGTTTTTATTTAATTTTCCTTTCCCTGAAACTCATGTTTGTTTGTTTTTAATTTCAGGATGGCTAGCAAGCTCCTTTCAGCACTGAATTAGAGAAACATAGGATACAGTAACAGCTAGACTCACCTATTAATCAAATTAATGTGTCTTGGTAAACCAATTCAGAATACCGTGGTGCCGGCTCTTGTGATTTCGTAACATCTCATGACATTCAATATTTTTGTTAAAGCTCTACTTTCCAGATTCATGTGATAATGGGAGAAGCTGAGGTTTCACTTAGGCAGAATTAGCAATAAAGTATCTGGAGCACCTGGCTGTAGAGAGTAATTGGCAAATGGGACCCAAGTGCATCCTAAAGTCTCAGAAAACCAGAAGGCAAATAAAAAGCACCTGCAAACAACTGTTGTTGGCTGAGCTTGCTGGAAAGACGCTTGCAAGAAATGTGCTCATCTGGCTGCTCCTGTGGACAGGACCTGTTGAACACTGATCCCAAGTTCTCCAAAATGCTGTGGTGTTTTCTGGATAGCCCCTTGTGGGAAGCTGGGAGCAGGGGTGGGTGGGGGAGAAGAGATGCAAAGTGAGCCAAGAGATTATCACGCACAAAAGCTGTGGAGTGGGAAACCTGGACCTCCAACACCCCAGGACCAGTTGTAACAAAGGTGCACCCTGCTAAAGGCTTTGGGGTGCTCTGCATGTTACCAGATACCTTGACTTCTAATACCTGCATGGGTTTTCCCAGCAATACCCAGTGTCCCGGCCAAGGCAGCTGGCCAGAAGGTGCCAGGAGGTGTCAGAACAGCCCAGACTCAAGGGGCACAGACATACCTGTGATGTTTGGGAGCAAGAGGCCACTTCAGAGGTCTGTCTCAGTGCCACTTCCCCTGTGCATCAGCCACGTCTGAGTAAGAGGGTGGCTGAATAAAGATGGGGGTGCAGAGTGAATAGGCACCGCTGGGTATATTGCTCATGGAAGGGAACCAGTTTTTACCAATTTTCTACTTGCTGTGATGAGAGCCTGTTTCAGCCAACCCTGCCAGGGTTCTCTCTCTTTGGTGGGAGGAGTGCATGAAAAATACAACTTAATGCCACCGTTGGCTGCCGTTCCTTCCCAAGGGGCTGTGTGGGGCAGGGGGCAGTGGTGCGAGCACCACGGGCACCTGTGAAGGCGCTGACTGAGGATGATGAGTAGAGGAGCGGTGAACTACGCTGGGTGAAACTGTGACTGTCGCTTCCTGTGGGCTGCCCATATGCAGTCCCCATCCCCTGAGAAATGACAGTGTTAACATATGCCACTAGACAAAATATGGCAGAAAATACAGTTTTACAAACCTCTTGACGTGGAAACTTCAAAAATACGTGGGATATGGGGCTGTAAGAGAGACACCGAATAAACAGCTGGACTTAAAGGCAGCTGCAAACTACCTACAAATAAAGGAAATGCTGAGGCTGACTGAGAGGCTGGTGGAAGACTTCTCCTGCCATCCTTGTCCTGCTGCGGAACTGGTTTAAGTTGTTACCAGAAACAGTTTGCAAAGGCTCACACAAAGCCACCGTCAGAAATAACTTGAATGCAGAGAGGAAAAAATTGCTCGAGAGTTCTTTTGGGAAGGATTAGGTTTAAAATAATTGCCATTTATAACTTAATTTTACATCCTTTTGGAGCTTGGCCTACTAGCATTTCAAGGCTTGACTGGAGCTGGCAGACAGGGTGGGCACTGATTCCAGGGCCTGACTGCCAAGAAAAAGGAAAATATTAAGAGAAAAAATTGGCAAAGAAAAAAAAAAAAGGCCAGGGAACTATAACAAAATGAGATTTAGTTTAGGAAAATTATTGTTCTCTGAGCCATGGACTGATTTTATGGCTGGCATATTAGTCACAGTCTTACATGAGGCTGGTCTTTGTAATCTGAAGGGAAACGTGGTGAACACAACTCCCAACGCTTTAATAATTTTTAAATCCGTGATTCTGTTATTTTTAATTGTGTTTTTTTAAATTTAAATTCATATCAAAATCTATTGAAAGCAGTGGGGAGACTCCTCTCAGCTTCAACAACTTTGAATCAAGCCGTGTAAAAATAGATGCCACATTCCTCAAGACTTCTGCTGCAGCCTTGCCAACTGAATCCAAGCATCAAAGTAAGACCACGACTCTTCTGTTTCTTACACCCAGCATTTTAGGATCACAAGTTATTGGGGCCCAGCCGAAGCCCCTGTGACACCTCTCAGTACTTTTGCCCAGTGCTGGATTAGACCTGGGAGATCTGGGCTTGCTCCTGCTGTTCTTTATGGTGCTGAGCACATGCATCCCCTCTGTGTTTCCCTGGACTGGTTTAATAGCAGAGAGATGCTCTGCTGCCCAGGAGATATTTTGCACAGGGTTGTACAGTAGATGAACAGCTCATGTCCAAAAGAAAAACGCACATGCTGTAAATAAAAAAGCCCAGGACGTATGGGACAGGAGTGAACCCAGTATGGAGCCCTGTTGCAAGGGCTGCTCCTCCTTTCAGCGCAAGTCAAGCCATTGGTAAACCAGAAAATGCTGTAACAGAGGCCAGCCTGAGTCACGGAGCCACTGAGAAGACCTCTCTGCAGACCACAGCTTGGAAATCACCTCTGCTGGGGCACGGGCTGACCAGGCCAGTTCTTCATCTCAGCGCTTTTTGGGCATTTTGCAGTGTGCGTTTTTAGTTACGACTGCACAAAGAAGGCTGCCCTCCAGCACTGAGAGGATGCTGGCAGCTCGCAGCCCGGGGCGGGCAGCACCTCGCTGCTGAGCCCAGTGAGAGTGGTGGTGAAGCGGGAGCTCCTCCTGCCCGGCGCAAGGTGGCCCACATCCAGCACCCCGGGGCCAGGACTTGCTGGAGGGGAAGGGGCCCAGGACTAACGCCCAGCTATCAGGTAAAATCACAGACCGAGAGATCGGAGATGCAGACAGATTCAAGAAAAACTGTTGAAAACAGATTGTTAGTCAGCCTTATGGATCTCAGTGAAGGACATGTTTTTCTTACTGGAAGAGAGCCATGATGTAGAAATAGACTGAAGTCAAGAAAGAGGGCTGCAGCCGTAGCTTAGGCTGTATATTTAAACATTTTTGCTGTTGGACCATCTGGGCCTGGAGCTAAATTTACCTACAAATTATTTTCAGCGTTTCTACTTCTTGAGAGGAGAAAGGTGCACTTGATACTTTATGCCAGGAGGAAAGATAAGATAAACTTCCTGGGTCAGATTTTCCCAGTGTCAGACCTGTGTGTGGTTTTGGATACCTAATCTATCTGCAACACCTGACTTTAAGCCCAGGCTGGGTACTCTGTGCACACAGAGCCCCTCCACAGCCAACACAAAATCTCG